AATGGACTTTGCTATCACCCTCGTGGGATTCATCTTCACAATGACCATCACCTTCCCTTTCAAGGAGTGGCTGGAAGTCAGGACTGCCGCTTGCTGTAATGGTGGGAGAGACACCTCCGGCTATGAGCCAAGGTGCGCTTGGGCTAAAAATGTCCTACTGGATTCAGAAGTACCAAACTTATCATGTGGGACTAGAGACACAGGTATTTCATCTGGATGTTTCAGAAAAAGGAGATGACTAAGAAAAGCCCTAGGAACGTGGCACTGCGCAGACCTCATGAGTCACTGGGGTGACGGTGATCCTGGTGGAGGGAGAGAGGTCCAGGTCTGAGATGGAAACTCCAGGAGGAAGGTGGAAGGTGAACCTCTGCAGGAGGCTGGTGAAGAAGAGGAAGAGCTCCATTTTGGCAAGAGTCTCTCCAGCACAGGTCCTCCGTCCTGGAACAAAATGCAGAACAGCCGCAAGAAAGTCAGTGGGACCTGCTTCTTGAGCTGTTGTCAGAGGAGAGGAGAGGAGAGGAGAGGAGAGGAGAGGAGAGGAGAGGAGAGGAGACCTCTGGGAAGCGTCTGAAAGGCCAGCTGCAATGGGAAAGTAGTCTTAGATGGCAAGTTCCCCTCAGAGCCCTAAAAACAAAATGAAAGATACCTGCTGAAAAAGGCATGAAAGCGTCTTTCTTTACAAACTTCCCCTCAGAGTCAAGGAAATGCTCAGGGTAGAAGATGTCTGGTTTCTCCCACTGGGATTTGTCTTGCAGGACAGAGGTCAGTAAGGGGACAATGTAGGTTCCCTGCAAGCCAAGGCAGAGCAGTTATTGCACCGAGGATGGTGTTGCTGTCACCATCAGAGCAATGGCGAGTGTTGGAGCTCAAAACACCCACTTTAATAGGGGACGTCCTGCCAAAGTAGCTTTGAGAACCCCAGTGTGAGCAAGCATCCTTGGATGCAAGCAGGACTTGAAAGGGAGATATGTTGCACTGGGGATGGAGGGAAGAAAAGTAGTGCAGAAGTTGTCTCACCTTGGGAATGAAATAGCCTTTGAGGGTCACGTCTGCAGTAGTCTCATGAGGCAAGTTCAATGGCAAGATATTAGCAAACCTTTGAATTTCATGTACAACAGCATCCGTATATGGCATTTGAATTCGATGCTCGATTCGTGGGGGGTTTGACCCTATCACTCGCTCTATCTCTTCTTGGACTTTTTCTGTGAAAGGAATAGGGATCATACATAGACTGATCACTTGAATGTCTCTTTCTCCTGCTAGGAATAGGGGGATGTGGAGAATTCACTTTTTGTTCAGCCCTGCTCAATGTGAAGTCACATTTGAGGTGACCTGATAAGAAAGAAGCCACTGATTGCCTAGTTTCCACTTACTCTGAATTTCAGGATATTTCATCATGAGCAGAAGGCCCCAGCG